TTAAAACCAAATCTTTTACTTAAAATTTCAATACCTTTTAGTACACATACACATGAAAGCACACACACATGCTGTACATATGACCTGTAAATGCGTCTTTGTGTTTAAATCCATTTTTATTTAAGTGAAAAAATGATAAGCGTTATTTTTATGATTATGAAACTTACGATAATTATAATAATAATTCTATTGAATACAAACAAATATTAATGCTGATGATAATAATGATAATAATAATGATAATAATAACAGCAAAAACAACAACAATAATAATAGTAATAGTGATAATTACAACAATAATAATAATAATAGTAATAAAATGATAATGATAATGATAATAATAGTAATAATAATGACAGTAGTGATAATAATGATAAAAATAATAATAGTAATAATAGTAATAATAATAATAATAGTAATAATAATAATAATAGTAATAATAATAATAATAGTAATAATAATAATAATAGTAATAATAATAATAATAGTAATAATATTCTATTAATTTGTTGAAACTAAGCCTCTTTGCTCACCCTGCAGGGCGCTTTCATCATCGGCTACTTGATCTACGAAGCTGCGGACTACAAGGACGTCAAGCAGTTCCGGTTCCCCCGCTCCGTCAGCGACCACGAGACGCTCCTGATCTCCACCGTCAGCCAGCTGGACCAAAATAACTGCATCCTCAAAACACTTATCTGCCAACTCCACACGAAGGCAGAAGAAACGCGGACGGCGCAGGAAAAATGTTATCGTGGATCTTTTCTCGTACCACTTGGATGCCTTCGCTCATGTGGCCAACGCATCCGTTTTCCTTCCCGGTAATGAGATAGATAGCAACGCCTTGGATGTAGGGATGTGTGATTCCTACTTCAGTAATTGTCCTTTCGCGGAAGAGCATTTGAGAAGTCTCCTGCAGTACGTATGGAGCTGCGGATCCCCCACACTATAGGATGAAAAGACAATTCGTTTTACTGTTTGTCTAGTCAGATCTCACTTTTTTGGCCAGTGTAAAGTCTTGTCATCGTTTTGAATCGTATGCCAAGATGTTTCTCCTATTTATTTTTTTCCCGTTGAGTTTGCAGTTAAGGGCAATCTGTTCCTGGGGATGCTAGCAGTCTGTCTTGGTTTAGTAGAAACGAGACAGAATCTTGTCTTACGCAAGGGCAATTTATCAAACAGAGCATTTAACAACGATTGCAACATTTCTCAGTTTCATCGAATCCAACGGCATTTCTCTTCTTTGTTAGGGAGAATTTTACAGATGTTACTCGCTATTTAACTTTTTTTTTTTTTGCCTTATCATAACAGATCCGCTATGTGTTCTTGGCCGCATGCCTCTTCTGCCTGTGTCATGAGGCTCATTCCGAAGGCCTTAAACCTGGAAGGATCAGCTCCTGGCGCCCTTTCTATATATATATATATATATATATATATATATATATATATATATATATATATATATGCATATGTATATATATATTAGACATATATATAATATATATATATATATATATATATATATATATATATATATATATATATATATATATATATATATATATATACACACATACACACACACACACACGCGCGCGCACACACACACACACACACACACACACACACACACACACACACACACACACACACACATATACATATATACATATATATATATATTTATATATATATATATATATATATATATATATATATATATATATATATATATATGTATATATGTATATATATGTATGTGTGTGTGTGTGTGTGTGTGTGTGTAATATATATATATATACATACATATATATATATATATATATATATATATATATATATATATATATATATATATATATATATATATATATAACATTATATGTATAAACACACACACAAATATACATATATATATATATGTATATATATATATATATATATATATATATATATATATATATATATATACATACACATATATATACACATATATATATATATATATATATACATATAAAACATACATAACACACTCACACATATTGTGAGGCCCCAGGCCTCTCTTCTCTGCATTCCCTCGCCCTTTTTTCCACTCCCCATTCCTTACCCTACCCCTTTTCCTTTTCCTCTCCTAGCTTCTGTCTCTTCCTTTCCGTCTCCTAGCTTTTGTGTCTCTTCTTTTCCCTTTTAGCTTCTATGTCTATTCTTTTCCCTCTTCTAGCTTGTGTTTCTTCCTTTTCCTCTCCTAGCCTAGCCTAGCATCTGCTTTTTTCTTATCTTAATTCAATTGTTCTTTTCTTCTATTCTCTTAGTTTATACTGTCTTCTTACTCTTTCCTCTCTCTAGTAACTTTCCTATTCTGTGTCATTGCTTTATACTCTCCAATATTTCCTCTCAAAGCTGCCTAGGCCTAAGCCTCCATGCCAATCCAGTGATTGTCTTTCTATTTTCCATTCCTTCTTCCACTCCTTTTCTTCTGCCTTAAGCCTTGTCCCTATTCCTTTTACATCAGTCTATCTCTTGCTTAAACTACATTAGACTGACATTCATTGTTCCCATTTTAAAGTAACTGTTTTTTTTTTAATGATCAATCATTCATTTTTATTTGTCGGCCCTTATTTGTTTGTTAATTTAATTTATTTGCTAAGCATGATTTTAGTTTTGCTGTTTTTATATTGTATTTTCTCTTACCGGTTCATTTTATAGTTTGTTATTTGGTAAGCCAATAGAAGCTTTGTTTGCCTGTTTGTTTTCGATTCTTAATTACAAATGTTTTTTTTTGTACATTTCCCTCTTATGTTAGCTATCGAGCATTGGATTTGTACCTTGCATTATGTTCTATGATATTTTTGGTTATTTTTATGATCCTAGAACACTGACTACGAGTTTTATTCAATGTTATGCTTCTGCCATAATTATTTTTGTTAGTTCGTTTTATCTTTTCAGTTTTAGTATTTGAGATTTTTATAATTAAGTTTTGCTTTTTACCACTTTTGTAGTGTGCTTTATATTATCTTCAAAACAAATTGTATTGTAAATATTTGTTTTTATCGAAATTTTGTATTCCTTTGTTTCCCCTCACCTATATAAGGGCGGATTCCCTCCAATAAACAGAGCTAAGTTAAGACCGGACATGTGTTTTGTGTGCCCTCCATGAATCTTACAGTGAGATGGCGTCGAACCGGAGAAAAGGTTGTATCTGGCTTCATGATTTGCCTTACTTTGTGAAAGCTGGGTGTGAATAGATAACTTTGATTATATAAAGGGGTGTAATGCCACTCTGTCTCATAGGTCCCCACACTTTCTTGAGGGCTTACAAGGGAACCCAGATACTTTGTTTTTTATTTCATGGGGTAAACAGAGCCCAACTATCCAGGTCCTTATTCTCTTGACCCGCTTCACGAGCATCATCACTTCGATAATGGATTCATGAGAGGCCCCCTCCCACAGATACCCTTATGATACACACACACACACACACACACACACACACACACACACACACACACACACACACACACACACACACACACACACACACACATACACACACACACACACACACATACACACACACATAAATATATATACATACATATATATATATAAATATATATATATATAAATAGGATAAAAGCAGTGTTATAAGATTATGGATTAATATATAAAATAAATGCGTATAAATCATACATTTATTCACATATATTTACCTATAAATGAGTGGATAGTCATACGTTTATAATTCTTTTATCAAATACATGTTTATTCAATAGAAGGAACTTAGATATGAAATGAAACAGAAAGAGAGAGAGAGAGAGAGAGAGAGAGAGAGAGAGAGAGAGAGAGAGAGAGAGAGAGAGAGAGAGAGAGAGAGACAGAGAGGAGGGAGTTGATTGAAACATTAATATAGATCAGCAATCCACTTATAAAAATATATAATGCAAGGAAATTTTCACATAGTAAAAAAAACAATTACAAAAAAACAACAAACTTAAACTAACAATATACACAACCACGAATTATGTTAAGAACATATAACCATGTTGACAAAAAAAAGAAAAAAGAGATAGCAAGCGAACACACTAAAAAAAAAAAAAAAAAAAAAAAAAATCCACAGTTTTCTCTGCTACATGAAACGGGTTTGATGATAGAGTAATTCATGATGAGGGCGAGAGGTGCCTGAATACATATGGACCGTGATTAGTTTTTTTATGAAAGTCTTCCTGAATTGCATGGTGTGCATTTCTGTATATGTATGTGTATACATATATGTATATAAACATATACATACATGCATGCATATACATATATATATATATGTGTGTGTGTGTGTGTGTGTGTGTGTGTGTGTGTTTGGGGGGGATGCCCTAAAAATGGTCACTGATATGGTCACGATATGATTGGTGTTGACAAGATTTATCTTTACACAGAATGGCTTCTCCAAACCCTGCTCAACAGGCCTCTCAGGAGAGCCCCCTCGAACGGACACTTATCCCCTGAAGCCTTGCACGCCTGGCCATCGCCGCCAAGGGCCTCCTCGACGCCGCTGCCCTTGGCGAAGAGCTCGAGGCGACCGGCGAACGCTTCCACGAGCATCCTCTCCTCGACCGAGAGCGCGTCGGGCGACTCGGCCTCCAGCTGACACAGCAGCTTGAGGACGCAGCCGTGAGTGTCCAGGCGGCTGACAGCGACGAGGAGGGACTCGGGATTCGCCAATCCTTCTGAGTTGGAACTTCTCTTGCGCCTGTAGCCTCCGGTCGCGAAAAGAGCTATAATGGTGGCAGCCTTAACGGAGGGAAGAAATGCGTTAGAGATTCGAAAGAGTGGAGAATAACACAAAAATCAATACCGTGTGATGAGAAAAGAGACATTAGAAAACGAAGATTAAAAAAAACAAAACAAAACAAAAAAAAACAGGTAGCAAGAGTCAAACAAGAAAAACTCGGGTGTTTCGCTTGACCACAACACAAATTTCCTCTTCAGGTCTTGGGGTCCCTCTT